CCTACTGTGGTGACATGTAGACTTGAGTTTTGAGGCTGAGCCTCTGGTGTTTAAAACCCAGAGAGATGCACCTGGTGCACAGGTAACAGCCCAGTTTATAGACTAAGACAGACTAGGAAGAAGGAAGAGGCTGTCTACTTCTCAAAGAATTGGCCAGGGAAAACCTTATGAATAGCAACAACAAGGGAAATGAACTCGTTTGTCAATTTTTCATCCTGTGATGGCTCGTGTGTTGCTGGGAGGCTGGAGGCTATGTCACTGGTGTTGCAAAATGCTAGCAGGGTTACCTATGGTGGACAGGTTTCAGTGGAGCTTCCAGACTAAGACAGACTTGGAAGAAGGAAGTGGCCATCTACTTCTCAAAGAATTGGCCAGTGAAAACCTTATGAATAGCAATGAAACACTGATATATTACTAGAAAACTGTATGAATAACCCTGAAACACTGTCCAATATAATGCCAGAAGATGAGCCCATCAGGTCAGAAAGCACTCAAAATATGACTAGGGAAGAGCTGACTCCTCAGAGTAGAGATGACCTTAATGATATGATTGGAGTAAAGCTTTTAGGACCTCCATTGGCTGATGTGGTACAACTCAAAATGAGTAGAAACAGCTGCAAACATCCATTAATAATCGGAACATGGAATGTATGAAGTTTGAATCTAGGAAAACTGGAAGTTGTCAAAAATGAAATGGAATGCATAAAGATCAATATCCTAGGCATTATTGAGCTGAAATGGACTGGTTTTGGCCATTTTTAATCAGACGACCATATGATCTACTATGCCAGGAATGACAAATTGAAGAGGAATGGTATGGCACTCATCATCACAAAGACTGTTTCAAGATCTGTCCTGAAGTGCAATGCTGTCAGTGATAGGATGAAATCCATACACCTATGAGGAAGACCAGTTAATACTACTATTATGCAAATTTATGCAACAACCACCAAAGCCAAAGATGAAGAAATTGAAGATGTCTACCAACTTATGCAATCTGAAATTGACTGAACGTGCAATCAAGATGTGTTGATTATCATTCGTGGCTGGAATGCAAAAGCTGGAAACAAAGAAGAATCACTGGTAGTTGGAAAATATGGCCTTGGTGACAGAAATAACGCTGGAGACAACATGATAGAATTTTGCAAGACCAATGACTTATTCATTGCAAATACCTTTTTTCAACAACATAAACGATGGCTATACATGTGGACTTTACCAGATGGAATACACAGGAATCAGATTGACTACATCTGTGGCAAAAGGCCATGGAGAAGTTCAATATCTTCAGCCAAAACAAGGCCAGGAGCTGATTGTGGAACAGACCATCAGCTGCTCATATGCAAATTCATTTAAAGTTGAAGACAATTAAAACAAGTCCATGAGAGCCAAAATATGACCTTATTATATCCCTCCTAAATTTAAAGACCATAGACCAAAAACCAGAAGAATTGTGAGATAACATCAAGAACATCATCCATAAAGAAAGCAAAAGGTCATTAAAAAGATAAGAAAGGAAGAACAGAC